GTGCAATTGTAGAAAAATTTTTTTTAACATTTTCCTTGAGTTTTCTTATGCAATTAATACTCTCTAAAAAGGGATCGTTTTTAAAATATATGATTTGAAATAATTTAAAAATGCGATTATTCTTACGAAAATATGTAGCTAATATTTTAAAGAGATATTTTATGTTATTTAAGCTTATAATAATTATTTTTTTAGAATTACAAACTTAACAGTGGTTTATCTCAGTTTGTCTGTTCGCATTCAAAATGGTTCTCCTTCCATAAATATTAATCAATCACTTCGCTTTTTTCCCCCTGTGTTTTATGTATAATGCAAGTAACAAAATTAGGCATTCAGTTTGGGCTGTAAACTTAATACTTTAAAAAAAAAATTAATGTAGGAGATTTTGGTATTTTCGTTGAATTTTAGCATGCATATCCACATTTTATTTTTTTTTTTCTCTATCATTAAATAAGTTATTGTAAAATCGTTTTATAAATTTGTTTAAGACATTCTTAGGAAAGTTACAAAATATTTCAGGTGAAATAATTAGTAAATACAAGAGGAGTATTATTTTAAAATAATTCATATTTTTTTTTTAAACTTTTAACTTTTCTAAATTGTGTGAACAATTTACACAAAATTTCATCTTGTATTATTTTTTTGAATAAAAACATTATATGTAATGCTAAAATAAAATTTTTAAATACATAAATAAAAAATTATTGTTTAAAATATGCCAAGTCACCTTAAAAAGAAAGACAATCTCTCTTGTTCAGTACAACTTTCATTTTTCTTTACGTATTTTGAATACATTTTTTTATTTTTCTAGTATAACATTTGTATTTCTTAGGAATACACGTCATTTATAAAATAGCCTTATTAAGACCTTTTTTCATACTTTGCCCAAATAGCATTTGGCATTCTATACAATGCCTAGGCAAAGTATGTAATAATTCTCCTATTTCATACTTTGCCTAAAAACGTCAGGCATTCTATAGAATGCCGGCGTTTCATACTTTGCCGGTAACATATATATTTTACCCATTAAAGTGAATTTTTTTTTTTTTTTTTTTGTATTTATTGAATGCTCTTCCAAGTTTTAAATGTGTCTTATATACTAATCGCATTAATATGCTACACCCACAGAAACTTGACTTTAGTTTTTGCTATTTGAAAAAGTTTTATGCATTTGAAATCACGTACCACACGCACACGTTCTTAAACATAATAACTTTTTAATGGAAAAATGTTATGTAACATCGAAAAGCTTTTCCTATTGAAAACTGAAATTAAACATGAAAAAAGCATTTAAAAGTAAGTGCATTGCACGTGTACTCCTTAAGTTAGTGCGTTACAAGACGCTAAGTGACCTTCGTGGTTTTAAACTTTAAAAAAAATAAATAATTCAAAAGGAAAATATTGCATCATACGTGACGAGTTTTCATTCGGTTCCAGATTGTTGAGGTTGCCATGTATTAATGTTTCATAAAATTTTGCATTCATGTGCTTGCATTGGAGAAATATGAGTTTTATAAGAGTGAGAAATTAAATATTCGCAGAAAAAATATCATATTTGTCTAGATATAAAAAGGAGAAGAGCTGCTCACTCAATCATTCATCACGATATATGAAGAACTGTTAGATCTACAGACTTGAAATTTGGCATACATGTTTCTTTCATGGAGTAAAGATCTGTTCAGTATGCGTTTTGCGAAAATCGACTCCTTAGGGGAATGTGAGGGATTAAGAGACGTTATAGAGAAATGTTCCCGTTTTTGAACTATTAGACCCCTACAGACAGGAAATTTGGTAAGCATACTTCTTTTGTAGAGAAGATATTAAGAATAAATTTTGCGTTAATCTATTCCTATGTGGGGCAGGGTTGTGGGGAATCAATGGGCTTATAAATATTTTTTAAAAAATTCCGTTTTCGAGCTACTAGACCAACACTAAAAATTTGGTAAGTATGTATTTTTTATTCAGTTGAAATCCCCAAAGAACGATTCTTACGGAAATCATATCTTCAGGATGGTTATGAGGTATATTAATAAAAATATTTTCGTTTTTAAACTATTAGGTTTTGACTTGAAATTTGGCAGGCTTGTTTCTTTTGTAGAGTAAGGATCCATTAAAAATGGCTTTGCGGAAATCCTCTTTAGAGAAGGGAGTTACAGGAGCGTAAAATATAATTTCATTTCAATTTTAAAAAATTTATGTTCTGTCCTTTTAAAAACAAGGTGAGGATTAAATGAATGTTTTTCAATACAATCGAGCGATTAATGCTAAAACTTAGATATCAATAGTTTAAACAGTATATATTCATACAATATCATAAAATACCCAGCAAAGCGGGCGGGTAAAGGCTAGTAATATATATATATATATATATATATATATTCATCTCTATGTAAGAAACTTTTCTGTTCTCACTATCCATACATTCATTTTATTTTACTGTTTAGTGTTCCCTCCACGTGTAGATGGATTTAGGCCTAATTTTTCAACATGGTACTGTTTTTTCTATTATATCGAAACTTTCTACTGTACGGAGAAGGTGGATCCATAAGCATTGCTTAACCGTAAATCACTGGCCTATTTCAGTGATTGCTTTAGAAATCATAATAGGTCTCCATTTTAGTCCAAAGACTCTTTCGGTATTTTCAATTTTAATAACTCTACACCTCTGTTTCTTGTGTTGTCTGTTTTTTTTTTTTTTGTTTTTTTTTCACTTTTAGTACGATATTATTTTGCACCATTTATTTTCTTGATATGTTTCTTAAAATCCAGTTTCTTCTTTAGTCTTGTAGGAAATACAATTTTGGCTCTTATTATTTTATTTTATTATACTATATATATATATATATATATATTATACTTGTGTGAAAAAGATATGTAAAAAACAAAGTAATCAAAATGAAGCATAAAGCTATTTATAAATTCTCTATCAAATTGCACGCGAAAGAAAATAATTTTGAAATACGATATTAAATCATAATTTTCTTCAACGGGAGAAAAATAGACTCATTGTATTTCTTTTATGATTAGTACATTAGGATATAGTTATTTATATATTGCCTTAAGAGTATTTTTAGAATTTCATTCTTCTTCATATACCATCACTCAAGATTTCTCAAGATTCGGTATTAATGATGCCTAAAATTAACCGATTTCTGTTATGCAAAAGAAAAAAAAACACTTCCCCAACAGGGGCTTTTCCTGAATTTCGAAATAGCTTTCTCAATTCAACTTATAAAAATGACCATTCAAGATAATAAATGATCCGAAACTTTCAACAAGTTACATTCATAAATGAAACTAGTTTTAAAATCATATCTGCTTCTTCTTCCAACCCTGTTGCCCCTGCAATCTCCGAGTTGCGATAATTTCAATCCCGCGCACCACTAATAGGATTTTTTAAGTGTTAAATGTTTTTTTTTTAAAAAAAATTCTGATCTAAGAACACCCAATGCATCTTAAAACATAACGTGATGAGTGAGTATATTACACATTTTTCTGGGGACCAGCGAAACTTTCTGGTGGACCACCACTTTAGCGACCTCTGCTTTAAGGAAAACAGCCATGGAAATTTCCATGGAGGTAGTGTAGGCTTCGACAAATGATTGGGCAAAGAAACTTAAAGCCCGTTTGAACTCAAAAGGTGACCCATTTGAAAAAAAGGAGCCAAATAATATAAATTTAAAGTGTGTGAGTGAATATTTACGTCGCACTATTCAGCTACGCAAGGACTTTCGGCAAAGGAAGAACAATTTTGATGACGAGGATGACACCTGAGCTGGCCTTTCTATATATGCTATTGGACTATTATTTTTTTTGTTGCTATTTATTCATTAATTACATAGAATTAATGAATTAATATTTGAAGAAAACTGTATTGACATCAAGTGTCCTCCACTACAAATTTAAAAAAATGTATTTGAACTTGAGTGGATGAATAAAAAGTATTTTCTTAACGATTGAAAATTTGAACACTATATTTACAAAAATGTAGGGAGAGAGTGAACTAATAGTAGGAATTGAAAAATACTCATGTATAACTAGTAAAATTGTTATTCTAAATACATAATATTCTAAAATTTCCCCATTCAACAAATTTACTAAATTTTTTATAGACACGTTGGCGCGATAGTTTCATAATTCTTTACAACATTGTCATTTGTCAAACTCTCTTCTGATGTTTAATAATTCAAGTCCAAAATGTTCTTTCTTCGAGTCTTATCTAATTATTGAAATATGTGTAGATGAAGATAAAGATTAGACTTTTAACAATCTTATTCTCAATTTATAAGAATAATATTATACCCTTATTTTTACGGGAAATTAATTATCCCTTGTTACGAGGTTTTTCTGTCTCGTGGAAGTCGCAGTGCTACTCGAGTATTTATTAGTTATGCTACATAATCAGTTGATTGTTATCGAAGATCAATAAAAAATATATATATTTATGATAATAAATATATATAATCCTCTCAAGTCACGTTTTACGTCCGTGTGGTTTTATCCATATCCGCCAAACGTGCGCTCATTATATTATTATCATAAAGGAACTGGTGATCAATAATTTACTTTCGATTATACAATTCTTCCGGCTAATGTTTGATTTATATACTAGTCATTATGCTACAATGTTGTTTTTGTCATTTGTGTGATCGATACTTCATTCGGTTATTATTTTCATAAATTAGTTTCACAAAAGAAGATCGTGGAACGCGGAGCGATGAAATTGATGTTGTTTTTCAATTCCTACTATTATTTCACTCTCTCCCTATTTATATATTTATATATATCTTGTGCTCAAATTGTCAATCGTTAATAAAATACTTTCTATTCATCCATTCAAGTTCAAATACATTTTTTTTTAAACTTGTAGGGGATGACACTAGATGTTCATACAATCTTATCAAACATTAACTCGCTAATTAAATGTAATTAGTGAATAAATAGTAACAAACAAAAATAATAGTCTAACAGCATATATAGAAAGGAAAATCGCTCGTAGTATTCCTGTAATGCAACGGATAGCGTATTGGATTTCTCATCCAAAGGTCGTGGGCTCGAATCCCACCTGGGGTAGCCTAATTTTCGAGAGAGAGAATGTGATTTCTTTCTTACTATACTATTTTATTAGAATAATTAAATTTAATGAATGAATAAATACTTACAAACAAAAAATAGTCCAATAGTTTCCTAACTAGAAAGGGGAAAGTGGAAAATTACATAATCGCTTTCTATTTTGTCACTTCATAGTGTGATTCTGTCCTATGTATATACATATTTATATTGATTGTAACTATTTAATAAAAAGTAACTAAAATAAAATGTTTCTTTGTTGACCTAAGTAGAAATTAACTTTTTTTATATATATATTACTTGTTTTTTGTAAGCGAAATGCAGTCAGGTATATAAAACTTGCAAGCGTTTTGTTTATAACGATTACGTAGCCACCCATCCGGTATAGTGGTTAGCAACTCTGATTGCTAGGCTGTAGGGCCTAGGTTTGAATCCCGGAGAAGGCGTGGGTGTTTGTCAATGTATGGTGCCTTTGCGTCTTGGGGATACTTTGAATAGCCGTTGAGCCGCAAGATTGGCCTCTCGTAAGGTTGGTGGAAGGGGAAGAGAGGTGAGAGGCCCCTGATCCTCCCGATGTATTCTTCCTCCAGATTCGGTTTGAACCGAGCCAAATCGTACTGTCACCTGTATGGTGATCAAGGCTACGGCTAACGACAGGCGTACATCTAGCCTCTTGACATGATGAATTTCGTGGACCTGAATCTGACGCAGTCGAGATCAGGTGGCATGAGAAACAACAACACCATGATTACGCATTAAACTAAATAAAATTTTCGTATTTTTTTGAAAAAATTCTTTAAACGTTTTTCAATTGAGATAATAAAAAATATTTATGTGTAACTTAAAGCAAATGATTGTACACATTTTCTGGAAAAACTAGAGCCATATTTGGCATTGATGCTCTACAGCAGTGGTTCTTTAACTGTGAGGTTCTTGGACCCCTGGGGGACCCCTTTCTAGGGGGTCCGCGAAGGTCTATCACTTACAGACTCTGAAAGTTCTCGTGGAAAAATTGAAAGAAGGGCCATCATAGACTAGATCAATAAATTGCCCCCAGTGAAAAAAAACTCTACTAGAACATGTATTTCGATCCAGAGTATTAATTCAGTTTTTTCGTTGTCTCCAACTACACATAGCCATTATTACGACGTAATTTTTTAAATTAGATGTTTTTTGTTTTCTTTAAGAAAAAAAAGAGGAGTTAAAAAAAAAAAAGTTTTCATAAGTAGCAAAAGCAGTCTTAGGATTATTGAGGAACCTTTAAATCACTCAGTCGTGTGTTAGGAGTCAGGAAGAGATGCTCAAAATCTCGGGGGTTCACAATATCCGGCTGATATATAAACGCGGACCGCGGCAATCGACAGTTTAAGAACCACTGCTCTAAAGGAAGTGTAATTTAAGTTGAAAAAGAAGAAGGGAGGGAGAAAGACTTCTAGTGTGAGCCGGCGTTTATTAAACTCAAACTCAGAGACGCAACAGCCCATGAGGCCCAAGGCCTGCTGTGCCCATCCCAGTATACTTGACCATTCGGGGCTGAGGTGCTAGAGCAGATGTCCCGATCAGGTGGTCAGTCAGAAGTGAGACAGTGTTTAAGTCTCAAAGCAAGCTTGGTACTCATTTATCGACCCACTGAATTAAGGATGAAAGGCTGAGTCGACCTTTCCCAGCCCGGGAAGAGGATATGGACATGTGGTGTGAAAGCGCGATACGCTACCACTTGACCATTTATTAACCTCATATTATAAAATATGAAGGCTAGTGGTGACGGACCTCGTAAGTTTAAAATACGATTAATTTTCGAGTTCAATACCCGAGCTGACACCTCACTCTCTTATTTTGTACACCCCGCCTACGTGAGGACATTGAACGTGCTTCGGCCTCTCTACATTGGTCTTTATTGACATCAGGACTTGACCCGATAATGTTGACCACGAGTTCGTGACCATGACCACTAACTTGCTACGGCCGAAGCGTTAAGCTCAAAATTACGAGTTACGCCACTACTAGACCTTGTGATGTGCTTGAGAGTGCGACATTAATACCAATCTATAAATGTCACTCATACAGCATTCTATTGTATTATAAAGGAGAACATATTTTTATTAAGTATTCGATGTTGGAATACTTCGAGATTTTCTTTATTTCCACATACAAAAATTTTTAGATGCCATTTGTGAAGGCTTCTTTAGCGATATTTCATTTTTAAAATAATAAATTTTAGAATACTCCACAATTGGTTATTTTACTTTTGTTTTGTTTGAATAATTACTCTTAAATGAAAAAAGTAACAACTAAAAACCGTCAAGTACTATCTTAGTGCTTCTACAAAGTTTCAATATTTTTGTGACCCGATATTCAACAATACTTTCCATGAGGAAAGAAGGAATACAATACAAACATTCATGCCTTCTCCGGGATTCAAACCCAGGCCCTACGACACCGCAGGCAGCGTCACTAACCACTATACCGGAAGGGCGGCAATAACAATGCATTGAATGCAATAATACTATATTTTGACCCTAAAGCTGCAATACGACTTTTTTTAAGTACCACTGGTTTATATATACGTCTCGCTCAGCCAAAGCGTTAGTTTCCCCGGACGTATATGTACGTCTTTCCGAAATACGATCTTTTCTGTGGACTGCTATCCATAAAATTATTCCGAAAGCTTTGGAACGCAATAAATGGACCTTGACAGTGATTGCGAAGGATTTACTTTTTTTCAGAGGATTTGTTTATTTATTGCTTTTCTCCCCCTCCAATACATCACATACACTCGCCTTCGTAGAAAACGGTGGCATTGGAGCTTAACTTTTAATCGGTGGTAGAGGGATTAATTATAGACCCAGAGTAGATTTAAGCTCATTTTAGGCCTTGGGCGCAGAATATCTACAGGCCCCCTTTGCACTGGAGAAACAAAATTTATAACCAGAAAATCTGGTTAAGACCAGCTTATCTGGGTCCCTGGGCGCCCACCCCAAGCGAGCAATGGACAAACCGTCACTGTATAAACCGTACAAACTATCAATATAAGTGTTAATTGTTGTATATAATTTTATACATGATAAGCCCATAGGGTCACTGACAATAAATAACCTTGTTCTTAACTTGCAAGTAGAGGGCACGACTAAGGAAATTCATTTCGGGTCGAGACTTGGTGTAATAGTAGTACTCCTTTAGGGCGTTCAACCCTCAATGTAATTCCGCCGAATGGCTAATCAATTCGGAGAAAATAGCCTCCAAAATTCATGCTTAGCTTTTATACAATTAAGTTTCAATTTCCTCCAAGGATTCCGTAGAATGGTTGGGAGAGCGCCTGTTTACTATGCGGGAGGTCAGGGTTCTATTCACGCGTTTCAATTTATTTTAACTATTTTTTCAAATTAAATAAATTTATTTATGAAAGGTTTATTAAATATTAAATGATATTTTATGTAATTATATATTTTGTATTTTATAAAGTAAAATAAATTAAATTAATTTATTATTTAAATTATTTATTATTAAAACTATTTAAAATTATTATCAATTAAAAATATTTAAAATTATTATTAATACGAATTATTATTTTTTATTACTAAAATTTTTATTAATTTATTATTAAAATTTTTATCAATTCATTATTAAAATTATTATTTATTATTAAAATTGTTATTAATTTATTATTATAATTATTATTTATTATTAAATTGTTATTAATTTATTATTATAATTATTATTTATTATTAAAATTGTTATTAATTTATTATTAAAATTACTATTAATTTATCATTAAAATTATTATTTATTATTAAAGTTATTATTTATTTATTATTAAGATTATTTAAATAAATTTATTAAAATTACAAAAATAAATTTATTAAAATTAAATAAATTTATTGAAATTAGTTAAATAAATTTATTAAAACTACAAAAATAAATTGATTAAAATTAAATAAATTTATTTAAATTAAATAAATTTATTTAAAAAGGACTTATAAAATATTTTATAAAATTATAGAATAATTAAATTAATAATATATAAAAAGAACACATATTGTTTTTATTATATTAATTATAAAATACTTTAATAATAATAATATATTTTATAAATTATTTTATATTATATATATAATATTTTATTTATAGTATATATTGTATTTCCCATTATAAAACTATTTGTAACTAATTTTTATGTAAAATATCATTTAATATTTATTACATATTTTATTATAAATATTATTTATTAATATAAAAATATATTTATAAAATTTAATATAAATATTTATATAATTACAGCATTTCTTTACTTTATAAAATAAAAAATAATTACATAAAATATCATTTAATATTTAATAAACCTTTCATAAATAAATTTATTTAATTTGAAAAAATAATTAAATGAATTGAAAAAAAAAAGTTTATCACGTGAATAGAACCCTGACCTCCCGCATTGTAACCAGGCGCTCTCCCAACCATGCTACGGAGTCGTCGGAGGAAATTAAAACTTAATTGTATAAAAGCTAAGCATAAATTTCAAAGGCTATTTTCTCCGAACTGACTGGCCATTCGGCGGAATTACATTGAGGGTTGAACACCCTAAAGGAGTACTACTATTACACCAAGTCTCAACCCGAAATGAATTTCTTTAGTCGTGCCCTTCCCTTGTTAGTATTGTTCAATTAATTATAAAATACATTGTTCAGTTCTGATACATTTATAAGTATATCATAACAGAACAAATGTTAATTTTATTTTTTATTAAGTCAGAATGTGTTTTATTTGTTTACTTTCAGTAAATAAAAATTTTTTTAAAATAATATTTTGTTTTCGACTATTCAATATGTTCGCGCCCCCTGAGGGGGACGCACCCCACGGTTTGAGAAACGCTGCACTATCTAAGAATCAAAAGTCAACCAACAACTCCAGTTCAAAAGCAGCTCTTTCGGAACTTGTTGCGTAACTACCAACTTCACTTGAATTTGAAGGGAAAAACTAAATGAGAGAAAAAGGGGGGAAATACC